TTTGTATTTATTTTTGGGATTCAGTTCAGTGGTCCTAATTTTTAACACAACCAGGGGAAGAAATATTTGAGAGAAGTTTGGAATATGAACTGCTTAACTAATATAACACCATGTGCAGCGTAAGAAAAATAAAGGCCATGTGTGAATGCTGGCACAAGTAACAAGGGCCAAATATTTCACCAAACCGCTACAGAACACTGAAGACACTAGTCCAACTCTAACAGCTTCCAAATGTCACAGTAAAAGACGCGTTGTGTAACTTCTCTGGTGGAAGGTCGTCACCTCCTTGCACATTTATTAAGTCACAGGTGGTTTTATAGCTCAAAAAGAGAAACATGCATTCTGACTGTGAGCGAGGTTTCCTTTCTACAGATCTGAACTGTACCTTGGTCTGGTTTGGTCTCCAAGGTAGAAGGATTTAATATCATACGATGAACCATTCTAGACAAAGCAATAACACCTCCGTGGAGAAAAGCATTTGACGGACCCTCCAGCAGAAAAGTCACACAATGGACCTTTATTACAACAGTATTAAGTATAATTATTCAAATGTCAAATTTGTGATTAATCTGAGTAATATTTTTAAAAGCACAGTCCAGAATTTTGGACATAGGAGCTCATTTCCTAGTGAGCCAGAATGTTGGAGACATGTGGAGACAGTTTTTTAACTCACGCTCTCCTCTGGGTCACACCCGACAATTTTTTTTTTTCCCCTTCCCGCTCTCTTGGGGTGGGTCAATCAGACCCAAAAATTTATTTTCAAATAAATTCTTGTCAGGTGAGAAAATTAATTTTTGGGTCTGATTGACCCGCCCCAAGAGAGCGGAAAGGAAAAAAAAAATCTTTGGGTCAATGTGACCCCCAAGGAGAGCGTGAGGGTTAAATATTCCATCCAGTCCTTGTATTTGCAGAGGTCACTGGTGCTAGGATAGCGCATGTCAATGGCCATAGTTAGCCTGCTACTAAAAACAGTCTTACCCACTCCACAAAGCACCTGAAGCAAATCTATTATTACGCCAGACTGTCAATGCAAATGTCTGTGTTGATAGAATAATGTTTGAAATAAAACTAACCTTGCATCGCATGAATCGTCGCATGTTGAGGGACTATTTTCTCAGCAGCAGTGGAATTTTACTTTGCCGGTAAGATAGGTGCTAGGTGATATCAATCTGCCGCTGCCAAGGTTTCTATTAGGAAGTACAACTCTCTACAGCTGCTTAGACATAAATCCTTCAAATGCAAGATTGGTTTTACTTAAAATTATTCTATCAACACACATTCACATTGACAGTCTGGCGTAATAATTGTTTTGCTTCGGGTGCTTTGTGAATTGGGTGAGACTGTTTTTAGTGGCAGGCTAACTATGGCCATTGACATGCACTAGCCTAGCACCAGCGACCTCTGCAAATACAAGGACTGGATGGACAATTTTTAAAAAGTGTCTCTACATGTCTCCAACATTGTGGCTCACAAGGAAATGAGGCCTCTATGTCCAAAATTACAAACTGTCCCTTTAATCGTTTGGCAACATTAATGAAAATACTATATTTTGTTGTTGGAAAAGGACATTCTGTTACCTAAATAATTAAAAATAATAATAATGCATTTTATTTATAACTCGCTTTACATTTGCCAACAAATCTCAAAGTGCTACAGAACATTAAAACAATTAAAACAACAGACAAAAGGCAGGTAATAAAATCCTGAACAAAGAACTCTTTAAGTTCTAATTGCAGCCTTTGTGATTTGATACTTGTGATATACTGTGCAACCCTCGAGTGCTCTGCTCATATAGTTTTCACAATGTGGTCTCTACTTCAATGGGGAGCGAGTGCTACTGAATTCATACAATATTTTTTATGAGAAATACCCTGAAAACCAAAGCTGAACTTGATGAAACCCAACCATTGTAAGCTGAATTGCTTCTTTGGTGCCCTCGCCGATAACCTTAATCCCTTCTGTCTGCCACAGCTCATAAGCAGCATTATAACACCTCTGACTCATCCCCAAAACTGCCCCCGTCTCTGTAATGCTGCACCAAACCTGATTATTTCACTAGTACTGCACCGGAGCTGTCATTAGTGCGTGAAGGACAGCAGATTGTCCTTCCAGTGTCTTTGTCTCCTGCTCCCATTTGTGTCTCTGGCTCTGTCCCCAGCATTCCCACACTGTGATGAATGCTGTTCATTACTAAAGATGGGACTGGAAATGAAGCCCAAATAGGGTCCTGTGAAGTTATGTGTGACCAGGTATCCAGCACAACCCCATGGGAGGGGAGAGACATGTTTGTCCACTCCCACTGCTCCCCGTAATCGTTTATCAGCTCAGGAGTTTGGCTCTGTGTATTGAAGTACATTTACTGGAGTTTTTATTTTATTTTTTTATTTTTTTATTGTACAATTAGAAATGGTCAATTATCCAATTATACATCCAGTAAATATTGTGTTAAGGCAGTTACTTTTACTTGAGTAGATTTCTCAAATACTGTGTTTTACTGTTACTTTCTACTTAATACTTTATAATAGTACTACTAGTAATACTATTGTTAAGAGTGGTCTTACTTGAGTATGATTTTGTCTCTCTATCTCCTCTGTAAAGCACTTTCTCTCCCCCTTCTTGTGCTTCAATGTGAAAATGAGCCCCAGCCGCTCCACACACGCTAATGCTAGTGTCGTGTCCCATGATGCATTGCTCAAGATGCTCTCCCTGGTGTAAGTGCGCTATAATTACCCCGGGTCTAATGTGATAGAGCTGTCTCCTCAGTCATGTCATGGTGACACTATGGTCCACACGATAACTCATACAACATGAATGACAACTTGACATTTTATTTTGATACGATCGGACATCCCTGAGCGCCGACTACACGGACAGACCAAGGACTGTAGAAAAAATAACACCTCTCTTTTCAGTGTTATATAAGTTTGGTTAGACCACTTGGCAGCTTTTTTGTTTCTGATTTAAAGGTGCGTTGTGTAACTTTTCTGTTCTGCCACTTTGCTGAAATGTTCCACAGTATGGAATTTAACTTTATCACCACGGAGACAAACGGAAGACAGCACCAGGCCAAGTTACAGGTCAGGACTGTGGAGAGGCAAGCCCACCCACACTAAGAATACATGTTTGCCAAAGTAAAAATAAATAAAGCTTTTTTTGTTAGTTTGGTTGTTTGTTTTTGCAGTGATTATTGCACTGAAAAAGAGGCTTGCTTCTCCACAAACCTGACCTCCGCCTGCTTGTTTCCATGGAAATGTTGGCTATATTCTTCCACAGTATGACAAAGTGTATTTATGTCCATGGAGACTGTACCTTTTTAAGAAGAAAACGTTGGAGTCCTTTGGTCATTTCATTCTGATACGATCTCTTCTACCATTTTCTATGAAGTATTATTATTTCTATAAGTACTAAAGCCTTTATATACTTTGTAGTTGAAGTTGTTATCAGTTGTGAAGGAAAGTGTAGATTGGCTTCGTCTCAGTGGGGCAGGATAATAATATCGAAAAGCTCTTTTAATGAGTTTAATTATGAAATGAGATGTGCACATCTTTAGCTGCTTCGTACTGTGAGAAACACCTCTAATATTAAGAACACGGCAGGTCACCACATGTGAAAACTTTCTTTGATAATTACACAAGCAAATCATTTCAAGTGCTATTATGGGTCCCTGCAGTCAGGTGTAATTTAATACAACATTATCTAAAACATGGCTCTAATTAGTGGTTTCAAATACAAGTCTATGGCCCGCTTTGTTCAATCATTTTGATGTATTGGAAATCAGAAGGTTCTTCAAGCAGTTTCACTAATTAATTTGAGTAATTTGTGCTTTAATCTGGCATTTAAGATCATAAACTTGAGATCATTTAGCAAATGAGCAGCATTTTTTTTTTTCAACATAAGTTTAACTATGAGACTGCCATTTTACATGAAAGTTTACTTATATGAAATGAAATAGAACACAAACCAGTCTCCCCCTCCACATGGTACAGCCCAGGGCCTCCCCCAAAAACTTTAAAAATGGCCGATATTTCCCACACCCCTTTCTTTTGTCTGGAGCATGTGGAGAATCAGGTAAGTATAGAAGTTTGTGTTCAAATGAATTGTATAACTGAACTGAATAGGTTTAACCAAATAAAATATCTTTATAATTACTTGTGTCTGTGTGATATTTCACTTAAATTTGGACTAAAACTAAACAAAGACTTAAAATAAACCTGGGATAGTTGTTTCGAGCTGTTTAGTTGGTTAAGGGATGAATGAGTTTAATGGAACAAAGGCTCTTTGTCTCACAGTGTGCTCTTCTTTCCCTCCACTACGATGCTATTGTTTAGTTTAGTTTACAGGGACCATATGCAGGAGCTTTAATCAGAGAACCATTAAATGATGCTTTGTACCAGAGTATTGCTCTCGGAGCCATTTTCCATCTGCAGTCTCTGAGAAATACAAAACCAAATACACAAATAACATAGACCAATGCACTCTATATACCGATAGTGATACAGATTACAATGATATTACATAACTCTATCCCCTTCCCACCCTACTCCCACACAGTAGCCACAGCTGCCCTGGCCCATGTTTGACAAGATGGATGAAGTGTCTTGCCTATGGACACAATAACAATTTTTGCCCACTGTGCACCTGGTATTCCCAGTGGTCTCCCATCCAAGTGCTGTCTAGACTCAGCCCTGCTTAGCTTCTGAGAAATAACAAGATCCATCATGGCCACAATATTCCGGGATATTATGTGCAAAACCACTTATTTTTATGTTCAGACCATTTTAAGCCATTTATGTGTTTAGGTCAAGATTTGGACGTCTCTTAAACGAGGATGGAAAGTTCTCATAAATTGCATTCCACAAAAGTACTGTCTATTGTCCATTTTATATTTATTTGGATAAATAGACACCCATCAAATTTGTCTAAATTTTTTTTTTTTTTTCATGTTTCAAGCTTTTTAGTATATATTTTTTGTCTTACACTGTACTTCTCCTCTTCCATAGGCTTCTGTGAACATGACTAAGTGACAACATGAGCTGTGATGACTGGAACTCCACACAGGTACTTTCTTTTGTTTTCCACATTCCCACCCACCTCCACCATATTGCCCCTGATGCCCTGCAGTTACTTCTTATGCGCTGGTGCACTCCACTCTGACAGGGGGCACCGGGGAGGCCTTTAGTGCATTGCTGTGTAATGTTTTATTGATGTCCCTAAGATGATGCGCCCTGACATTTTCTGATGCTCCTTGTCCCAAGCAAATCTCTGTCCGGCCCTTAAGCGGCGTGTCTGGGGCCCGCCTGGTAAATATTTAAGGTGTCTCCATAAGGGCCCATCTCCTGTTAACAGTGTCAGTGCTGGAGTTGGAGGCTGCCCACCTTAAGAAATGTCATTGTTGTTTCTCCTCTGTGAAGGCTCACCAAACATACCAGAGTCTAAACAAAGTCAAAGTCCTGATGTCTTTTGTATGGTGTGGATTTATAAATAGTTAATGAGAAAGGAGGCTGGATGTCATAAATGCTCCCCTCACATCCTTTACACAGCCAAAGAGGAGGAGGAGGAGGTGGAAAGTTCTATACAAGTGAAATAAAATGTGTAGGTGGTGAGAAGCTTTGTTGGCTTTGTTCGCTCTAGGTCTGACTTTTCCCCCTAACTTAAACTTTCATTGGTATTCTGGGCAAATAGACCAATATTAGACTAATAGTGTATTAACTATCGGCCTTAAATTTTGATATTTTGTTTGGGTCAACTAGCTGCCAAAAAATTAAAAAAGCTTTAAAGCAGCACTATGTAACTTTGTAGTGGGAGTCTGCTACCATGAGATGTTATTGCTTCGTCTGGAATGTTCCTCACTATGGCTTTAAATTTAACCATCTTGCATTTAATCCATTACTAGTATATTTATTGCTGAGAGAGATGCCTTGAAACACATGCGTTGTTCGTGCCAGTGGGGTCGCCTTTTCAAAGATCTGACCTGTAATTTTGCCTAGTAACGTCCCCTGCTTGTTTCTGTGGAGATAGGTATGTTTAACGTCACACTTTGGAACATTCCAGGCACAGCAATAACATCTCCATGGAAACAAAGTAGATGGACAAGCACGACAGACCCTCCACCAGAAAAGTTACATAATGCGCCTTTAATTTGAACATGTAAGAGTGAAGAAGACACTGCACAAAAAGTGACTGCAATGCTCTCTCATCCAATTTGTAGTAAAACATGATGGTAGATGAGTTTGTAATAAAATATATATATATATTTTTGGGGAAAAAATGTCCAAATCAGCATTACATATCGACCAAAAAATAACAGGAGGCTCTCTGGATCAGAATTTCCATCAGTCGACCGCTAACACTGTATTTCTTTTATTTATCTTCAGGACAGGAAATGTGTGATTCCGGTTTATAAGATTTTATGAGACATCTGCGGAGTATAAAGTTGTTGTGTTCATGTTTGTAGAAAGGCAGAGATTGTTTCAAAGTCTGTAATTGTTGTATAACTTTGGATTTTGGCTGTTATTGGTTGAGTCCAGATTCTGCAATGTTGTGATTTCACTGTCTCAGCTGGAGTTAAAAAGTAATCATTCCTGTCTGGATTATATGTGGTATTTTCATTTAAAATATTCAAAAGTAATTTATCCTGTACTTAGAATATGTTTTTATTGTACTACATCTGAAACTTTGTTGTGATATCCTCATATTGGTATTTTGCAGTTGGAGTCATCAACATTCTGAGGGAATGTGTTTTAACACACTCTGACCAGATGGCTTAGACTTAGACTGAGTCAGAAGGAACCACAACAGGTCGTCTAATTTGTGCTGTTAAACAAGTCACAGTCTAGCCAACATCAGCCAGCAGTGTTTCAGTCAGACACTCTCACCTTTTTCACCTAAACAGAACCGTGAACACTCGTACTGATCACAGGCTTCTGAAAATGTGATGTTTAAATCACTTGTGGATTTTTTTTCTTGAGTTCTCAGACAGTCTTAAAACTTTTTTGTCAGTGTTTGATAATGTGTGCATTGTGTCACCATGGTAACTGCTACATGCATCGGTAATGGTGCAATGTTAGAACACCCCCAGCAGTCATTGTTAAGTATCAATAGCCTATAGGGAAGGTTACCAGTTCTATTCTCAAGCCAGTAGACTCTTTCATGTCATGAGAAACTTTGTGTTTTCTTCTAATGAGACAACTTTCTAAAAAGTTAAATAGCTCTCTACTCAGTTGTTGCTCCGAGGTCTGGTCAGTTTGACAGATCTGGCTGATCTATCAGACTGACCACGCCTCCTGTTGCTTGGTTGTTTCTGGATAAGTGAATCCCAGAGACCACTGCTGCTGCTGAAACATGTTGGGTAAATAAGCTACTTCACGTTTTACAAAGTTCTCTTATTAAAGGAAAACATAAAGTTTTTATATAACAAGAAGATAAAATGATAATTTTTGTTCATTTTGTGGTAGACACACATTTCTGGTTGGGAGTAAATATTGGCTTTTGTGCCTTTAACTTCTTGGATTAAATGCTAATCTAATTTTTCAAACAGTATTGTTTTTTTTTTTCCTTGAGTCCACAGCTCTGTGTGTGAAGTCTTTATAGTCGTCTAGTTTGCAGCAGCTGAGGCACAACATACATTTTTATTAGACTAGACTTTCTGTCAATACACAAGATTGAGAGCTGTATCTTCATTACTTAAAGGACACTGTTTTGGCCATTTGGACATTGCCTTGCAGACTGTAATGATAGTAGATCAAATGCATTCCCTGACTTGCATGAAAAGAAAACAATATGTGTTAAGTAAAATTTCTCCCTTCCCTTTCACATTTACATAGCACTTCAGATTAAGAAGCCTTGCCGCGCCACTCTATTCACCGCTCCAGACTTCATTAAGGAACTACTTTTTCAATGCAGCCCTGGAGAACGTGGAAGGACACACTGAAGCTGCGTCATTGCTCATTGTGCCCTTGTTATTGAGCGCCATTGAACAAAGGAGTCAACAGAGGAGGGCTTTTCTTCAGGAAGCCGAACTGTGCGCGAATAATTGCTTTTTCAATACATTCAGGTGCCTTTTGAGAATTTCATCATAAACAAGAGAACTTCAAAAGGAGCGGTCATTACTTAAGATAAAATATATATTACATGTGCTTCTGTTTCTGTTTTTTGTTCCTTTTTTTTTCTCCTTTTTCAATTTTTATCAAGCCTAGCCGGCCAGTACCCCCAGTTAGAAGGATGTGAGGTAAAGATTGTTTTGGATTGGTGGGCCCAGAGCCACATTCCTGTCCAAGTTGTCTCTGTAAATAAATGTTGTTGTGCAGGGTGACTTGACAAAGTGTTGTGTTGTGTTTTTACCACTAAATGATGAGGGTGCAGGTTCAAACCTCAGACTGGCTCATAGCATTAGCTCAGGCCAAGGCATTCCCTCCTTACAGGGGAAATGACTAGGAAGTAAATTTGACTTTTTCCAACGTGGGCACTGCAGCAATAGTACAACTGTCACAATAACACCATTTGAAGCATGATATATTGTGATAGACGATATATATTATAATATTTCAATTGCTTTAGTCACTTAATCCCAGTAAACCCGTTGTAAATATACTGTTTTATACTGGAAATATACTGTGTTCATTAAAGGGCCTTAATGAACCAATAATTAGCTATAGAAGTTATTTATTCTACTCTCTTCAGCTCCAATCTTACATTAAAACATAAAAATGGCAAAAACTTAAAAGCAAAACTCCAGGAAATTGTACACATGATAAATACTATTGCCCAAAATATTTTATTACAGCTTTCATGTGTGCAAAAATATCAAAATATCGAGATTGTGATACTAAATTTGGTGATACTGTGTTGTTATTATTATGAGTTTTTTGGGGTTTTTTTTTGTATGTTTTAGGAATTTATTTTGTGACCAGACTATATTTTAAAGTAAAGATAATGGATTTGTTTCCTATCAAGTGTTTTTATTCTTCTTTTGTACTTAAGTGGTTTAAGGGCAATGATGTTTGCATGTGACCATGGTAGTCGGAGGCGAAAATTTGACTTTGTTGCAGACTTTCTTGACTTGATGTGATTTAAATGTTAAATTAGTGTTTATCTGGGCTTCAGTGTCTTTGTTTTGAGGTATGACCTGAAGCCTCTGTCCTGATTTTGATCTATAAGTCGATATAGTAATTATCATGACAGGCCAAACCAATAGCATCATTTTGTCATTCGTCACTGATCGTCGTTTCAATTCACTTATGTTTGTTTTGGGCCTTTTTAATCGATAGGACTGTGGTTTGGAGCAGAGTTCAGACTTTGAACTTCAGAATAAATAAGGGCTTTTGTGTGAAGTGGAGTGGCAAGCATTCATTTGTTGTTTAAGATGAGGTTTATAGTATTATTAAAACTGTCTTGTGTGTTTTTATTGAAAGCTATATTAAAGCTGCAATATGTAACTTTCTGGTCATCAGTGTGATTCTATGGACATAAAAAGACAAACATCAAAAAATGTAGTTTATAGCCAAATAAACAACATTGAGGACCTCCTTCAGACCAATTAAGAGTCAAGTTTGTGGTGAGGCAAACCCCCGCTCACAATAAGGATGCATGTTTTTAAAGATTTCAGTGCAATAAACCCAATCACAATAATAACAATAATTAAAAGAAAGACAAAAGTTTTGCTGTATTTTTGGTCTAAAAAGTTACACACTTTTGCAATAAATAAAGTTAAAGTGACTGATCAATATGCTGAAACAAATTGTATCTTTTTTTGTTGCCATATCTCCCAGCTTTATCTGCACATAATCAAATAGTCTTTGTAAAGGCTTTATGGAGGTGGCAATGGCCAATAAGGTTAACAGCAGCTCAGCACAAGGAGATAATGGGAAAGCTCACCTGCGAAGCTCCAGAAAGTTTTTATAGTTCCACAGACACAAAAAACTGAAAGTTTGTGTCGGACTGTTAGCTAATATGAAAGGGGAAACTGATGTCCTTTTATGACCAGCAATAGTTAGATTTTAACCTTTGAAAACAACATCTCCAGCTCGACCTGCACTTCTATTCTCCTGAGTTACTGCCTTAATTGCTCCATAAATCGTCTGAACGATTGGCCCTGTAATGTGGTGGACAGTGAATGTGCAAAGAGCAATTCAGTCCGTTTCCTGTTTGGACAGCAAAAACAATTTGTACTGACATATTTTCTTAACATAATAATACATCAACTTAATCAAAGCACTTATTGAGCCATTACAACAGTGTGTGCCTTCGCTAAGCAGTCATTTCAGCTTGGGAGACTGGAGACATCAGGCTGTCGGGTCTGTTTTTGTTATGAAATGGCTGTTCCACTTTTATATTGACCAAAAGTGTAAACGGTGTAAAAAGTTTGCAACTGTTGAGTGGTGAAGAAGAACACACAACAGCAGTGTGTCATGCAGTGTACCTGTTGAACCATGAGTGAGCGATGGTTGAGATACTTGTTTGCCCCGTCCACTTTGTCCCTTCTCACTGATGTTGTAGCAATGATTTGAGATGGTTGTGTTTGAAAAAAAAAAAAAAAAAGCAACTTCAGTACTAAAGAGCTTGTTGCTTGATGCAGGAGTCTATTCCACAGTAAGAATTAAACACTCACAAAAAACACACAATCGAATTTTTTATTTTTATTTTTTTACACAAAAAAACCCCAAGAAATATTTATAATATACTGAGCTCTTTACTTGCCTCGAAATTCAGAATGATCTCTCTGTATTTTTCTATAGATTAATATCAGTCTGGTCCCTATACCCTCGGTAGGTGGGTACTTTTTTAATTTAACCAGTCACTACTATTTAGTCGTGACGTATGTACTGCGCCGCTAACAGGGCTAACTGGTAATTAAGCTTTTCCCAAATACCGTAGGAAGAAGGGCTATAACCTCTTTCCTCTTGATAAAATTCACCAAACATTTTCTTTGTTCCAGCTTTAAATCCTTGATCTCAGGAATCGTTGCCAACACATTATATATGGCTCTTTACTAATTGGCTGGTGCCTGAACTCTCACTTCAGAGAACCATCTAGTGTATTCCGATTCCTGACCTGTCACTGGAGAGAAGATAAGCTCCAGCCTGGCTAATAGACAGACTAACAATAAAGGATTACTCACAGGCGTAAATGGAACAAAACACAACTCCAGGTATGTTTTTGATGAGGTAGTAACATTCATCTACTGAGAGGAGAACCACAAAATCATTGCTACCATTTTTGGCTCGACCATTTGGCAAAAGCAGATCATGTTACAATGCTACAGTAAAACCCGGATGGGATTTTCACAACAGGACTTCGATTGAGCGTAATTTATTCTTTCTGACAGAATCCAGCGGAAGAGAACATCGACTGCTTTTGTCTCAGCTCAAAGACAAACAATGACAAAAGTAATCAATCTGGAAGGATCGCCGAACTGTCTCATCCTTTTCTCTGGTGCAATAAAAGTGCTACTGAAAAAAGCATTGATCTTATTTCAAACGAATCCAATGACCTACTGAACAAAACTGATGAGACGTACACTTTGCAAAGACCCAGAATCTCAGGTCGATATCAATAACGGTATCATTACTTGTGCAAAATAAGAGAGGAGGAAGACACTTAATAAAACATGTGTCTCCGGTTTAAAGGTGCACTGTATAACTTTTCTGGTGGAGGGTCCGTCAGATGCTTTCGATGTTATTGCTTTGAGGGTAATGTTTCACAGTATGGCATTAAACCTTTCTATCTTCATGGAGACCAAACCAGACCAAGTTACAGGTCAGATCTGTGGAGAGGCAACCCCACTCACAGTCAGAATGCCTGTTATCTAGGTAGTTTTGAGCTATAAAACGACCTGTAATTGAATAAATGTCAAGTAAAGCTGTTTAATGTCATACTGTGGAACATTCTGAGCAAAGCAATGACCCATCCATAGAAACAACAAGTGATGGACCCTCAGCCGAAAAGTTACACAGTGCACCTTTAAGAATTTCCCTCTTGTAGTCAAATCAAAAGCAATCTTGAAATTATGGTTGACATTTTTCCTTATCCTAGCTGCAAATGATGCATTTTACAGCCATCTTTAATAGTTGTTACACACTATTACTAATGAAAATCTTCTAATGGACAAAAACCAAATGTCTTAGATTTTAACAAACACTCAAGTGACTGTTTTATGTGAGCAAAAATACATGACAAAACTCCACTTATACAGTTGTTTTGTAAAGACAATGGAGAAAGCATTATGAAAATTTAAAAAACAATTTATTGGTTTGAACTTTAAGAAATTGTAGTGCTGTTTCTGTAGAGCTGCTTAAAAACAAAATGATAAAAGAAAACAATACTCAAACACTAACAAGTAATCAAGTCTCTATAGAATGAATTTGAGCCTATATTAAGACATAGTTTTAGAAGAATCTTTGATCTATATCAAAACTAGTATAAAGACTTGTCTGAGATCCAAAATACACATTTTTTAAACACTCAATACTGAATACTCAATACTTCAGTACAAATCATAGTTGAGCCTTGTCACCGGTACATCTCCCTGTTTTCACATATCCGTGACTGACAGATGGATTAGCCAATCAGAGACACATTTGCGTTTGGGATTTGGCCGTTGAGCAAATGAAGTGAAACCTGCTGATGAATCAGGCTACCTGTCTACATCTCGAAAATGCTCTGTTGAGCTTTGTGATGTCACAATGCCGCAGTTTTCATATTAATATGTTACATTTTGTTCAGTAGACACTGGCAATTCGATAATATCATTTTTTTATTTACAAAACATGTACAAACTTTTACAATTCTATGGAAGTCTTGTGAAAGGGAACTCCCTAGACGTTACCTTAGCATATAGAAGGGGCCCGATGAAGGTGTATGGAGATTAAAAACACAGTGGAACATCCACTGTATTACCACATGACATCACAAGGTGGAACTGAGTGTTTCCAGTTTGAGAGAAAAACTCAGCCTAAATATGCAGGGTTTACTCATGGCTTTACTGTAACATTGTACCACAATTTCAGCCAAAAGATGGCAGCAATGATTTTGTGGTTTTCCTCTCAGGATACAAATTCAGTTACCTCCTCAAAAGAATATCAGGAGTTGTTTTTTGTTTCATTCACACATATTTAAGCAACCCTTTATTATTAGTCTGTCTACATCTCCAAAGCTCAAAATGCTCTGTTTGAGTTTGTGACGTTGTGATGCTGTAGATTTCATATTAACATTAACTCCTTTTTGTT